GGGGCGCCCCCTGGCGGCGCGAGTGTGCGGTGCCTGTCCTGCCCGCCCGTCAAGGGCTTCCGCCGGGTAACGGCCCGTTCCCGCCCCCGGCGGGGGGGGCGAGGCCTCGCCTGAGGTGCTCTCGGGGCTTCGTTTTCACAGGTTCTCCCTCGCTCCAGCCTGTCCTTCGTGTAGGAGCTCTCGCGGCTGCCCCTCGGGTGTGGGCATTATTTGTTAATTGAAGTGAAATTACCGGAATAAGCGAAGTGCCACGTTAGCGGCAGCTTGCTGGTTCATCACCCTGGATGCCAAAATTATTCTCTTACGGTTTACAGAGTGTAAAAATGACCGCTCTCTGGCATAATGGCTCGTGGCTGTAGTCAAACATAGGATAAAAGCGGTAAAGAAGATTCAAAAGGAGATTCCCCCCCCCCCCGCAGCAGTTGAAGAGGGCACAGTGGGTACGGTCACAAATAACGTGTGGGGGAACAGGCTGACTATGTTTTGAAGGTGAGATGGCATAAAAACCACACATGGTTCAGGAAGTCACCCTCAGTGAGAAAAGGTGGAGGCCGAGCGCCAAGAAAATAATCACACGCCTGCCCGGGTCTCTCTTCCCTGGGTATGTCCTCACAGCCGCGTTGGAGGGGGGCAGCGACCTGGCTGGGTCCTCGGGCTGGCCTGGTACTGCTGTTCCTGCCTTCAGCTGTGGCGTGCATCCTGTTGAATAAAAAAACTACAGGAAGCTTTTGACATGGTTTTTGGTACTTGAGCTCCAGTGAATCAGTTTAAATCTTTCTATATAATAATCAAGCCAGCAAGTATAATAATATCCTCCGAGAACAAACCAGGTTTCTTCATAAAGAGTGCTGTAGCAATGAGAAGGTCCAACTTGGTCAATTCTAATTGGGAGCATGTAATGGGCATGGCCCAGCTCCCCGATGAAACTGTATTGTCATGCTACAAGAGAGAATGAAAGGTAGTAATGTGCCTAAAGTAAGCAGAAACTTGTCGGACCCACGAGCTGGAACAAGATCCCCGATCCTCAGCGTAGTGATTAGCCACAAGATGTATGTTCCTCTTGAAGGCCTCTGAGGAAATACAGTGTGGGGATGCTTCAGTCAACGTAAGTAGTTAAGTTGATGATGTATGTATATAAAATACTATCTTTACACTTGCAATGCTAATTTGACTATATAATCATAACTTTTCAAAGTCAAAATTCATCTATGAATATATTTTAAGAGTTCTTAAGAAGGTAATTACTGTATTCAAGGGAAAAATTAATATTTTTTTAAAGAAAATTATGTTAAATTTATATTGTATTCCTACTGGACATGTACTTAATATAGACTCTGGCTTTGAGATTAAAGGAGGAATATGTTTGCATTGTAATAGATAAAAGACTGTCTCTGAGAGCTGCGATTGTGGTGAAGGCATCTTCCGGTTCTTTTGTTTAAAGAGAATTTGGCAGGAATAATCAATAAGCAATCCTCCTTTGGCCCAATTCACAGTGATCTGATTTGCCAGGGTTGTTCTAATTTCCAAACGATCCAGCATGTATGATGGTAATGGCTTGAGCTTAGACTGCTTGAAGGAGGAGCTGCAGTTGAACCTGTTGCTGTTCTGGAGGAGCAAAAAGCACTTTTACAGATCTGCAGTGCCGGTGCTGAAGCAGCCAGGCCATGAGTCTGTATAGATCAGTCAAGTAAAAATAAGATAGTTTTACCTCATTCATTCATTTTTATCTTTACATTCTTCCAGGCAAAGTACTTATATTTAGATGTTCTTAAAAATATTCTGTTTTGGTAATTCCTGCTGTTATTTTTTGTGAAAAGGAAATGGATTTTGGAGAGTTAAGCAGGTAAGTACAGTGTACAATAGAGTAGTGAAGTCTAGAGCATAAAAGTTTTTTGCACAAATCTGGTTTTGTGAAGCTTCAGTAGGATATTGACAGGGTGTGCATCTTGTCAGCTCTTACGTAGATAAAAGTGAACTGGCTTGCAGGCTATGTTAATAACAGTATTTTAGGGACTACAGAGTGTGACAAATAGAAAGCAGTTTGGTTCCAGAGTTAAGTGTTAAGCAACTTGGATTATTAATCAAAATTCAGCAGAGAAGAGCACACTTTTTAGCTGCTGTCTCAGTCCAACTTGAATGCTAGTAACTATATTGCTCTACTCTCTTTGAGAGAGGCTTTTCAATTTTTTATTAGTGTTGTAGCACATGGGGATTGTCAAAATAAATCAGATAAATAGTCCCGGAGCTAAATATTTCTGGAGGGCTGGTAATATCCAGATAACTTTATTGTGCCCTCAATTTTTCCTTTCTGTATTCTTTCTCATTTGAGTTTTCTGACAGAAAAAAAAATAGAAAATTCTGAGGGTCTCATAAAACAAAACAACAGTTCCCAAACTTGCTGAATAGACTTGAAATTTTGAAAAGTATACGCTCAAAAGTATTTGTAGTCAGGTTGTCTGAGTCACAGTATCTGGATTTTACTTGATGGTTTCACAAGTAGACACATTTCTCAGTATTTCTCTAAACTGTATTTTTTGAGATTTATGTGATGTCTCCTCTAAGGAAATAACTTGAGCCCAGACTTGGCGAACCAATGAGTCCTGTGTAGAGAAGACACCCAGTATGGCTGTCCATTCAGTCCCTGCTGAATGGGGGTGTTCCAGGCTGTGAGAAATGAAAGGAGCTAGGGAATGGACAATCCTTGCAGAGTCTGGAAGCAGGCTGCACACTGGATTCAACTGAGGCAAGAGCTCAATGTCAAGAAGCCTGCTAAGAAGTTGGCCTGGGACCATGCATCTGGAGCACTCTCAAGTACGTGGCAAGTTCTAGAAAGGCTGAGCTCTGCCTTTCATCATTAACAACAGCCACAAGGACAATATCTGGTAGAAAGATCCCTCTCGCTTACACAGGATAAAAGCATAGCATATTGTGTGTTGTTGGATAGATCTTGAATGCTAGTGAACTATTAAAAAAAAAAAAACGAAAAAAAACTTGAGCAACAATTCCAGTAGTTTTTTGTTGAATATTCCTGTGTGGTTTTGGACTAATTAAAAACACCACTTCTGTCTTTATAAGTCAGTAAAATGGGTAACCAATGTCTAAGGAGTTAATGAGTTCGACAAGTTAAAACCTTGAATATGACTTTTCATAAAGATTTCAATTTACAGTTGGTCTAACTTATTCTTAAATTTTTTGTAGGGACTCCTAGATTAACTGAAGTGCTTTGCTGTGCTAGCAGAGCTGCTTATT